GTTGTAAAAAATGTATTTAAGCTGCGTTTTTTGACTTTAAGAATTTAATTTTATAAAGATTTTATTTGAATTAAAATTATTGTAATTGTAATTATTACATATTTAATAAATTTTATAAAATTGACTTCTGAGTTGATATTTAACAAATCATTTATTTCATACAAATTATTTATAAATTTTATTGTTACATATACGTGTTTAAGAATGGATTCCCAAGGATCTAGCCCAAGCTTTCAAAAAAGTACATACATTGATGAAAGCAACAGTGAAGATAATACATCTTCTAGTACAAATATGCCAACCAATACTAAGAAAAAAAGAAAAAAAAAGTAGAAAAAGCTTCGTACAGAAATACTTTGAAGTAATTAAAGATAAAGATGTTTGTATATTTATGGTAAAAAAACAAGGTATAGACCAAAAATGTGGAGCTAATTATATTCATGACAGTTCAACTTCGAATATGATTGCTCATTTAAGATTATCACATAATATTGTGAATAGCAAAAAATTAAAATCAGAAATACAAAAAAGTCAACAAACTTAACAAACTACATTACTAGAGATATTTTACCTTAATGCTCCATATAAAGGCAATAAGCTAAAAAAAATAAATAGAGCAGTTATTGAATGGATACTTCTTGATAATGAATCATTATCAGCACCAAGGAAAAAAGAATTCTGCCACATGATGGCAAAAGTTGATCCAAAATTTCGTCCACCTTCTAGTAAAGTAATAAGAAATGAAATTTCATTATGTTATTTAAAAATATTGAAATTCTCAAACAAAAGATTATATTATCTTGCAAGGCAGCTACAATAACAGCCAACTTATGGACTTCAAGAAATAAACAAGGATACATGAGAGTTACTTGTTACTGGGTAACTCCTAACTGGTCATTGTGCAGTATATCATTGTGTTGTGAAAAAATGCCATATCTGCATACTGCCGAATCTATTTATAAGTTTCTTAAAAAAAAATGTTCAGAATTTAATTTAGAAAATAAAATTACATGCGCCATTTCTGATAATGGTGCTAATATAGTAAAAGCTATTCGATTATGAAATAATGTTACCTGGCTGCCATGTGCTGCACACATGTTGTAGTTAACAGTTAATTATGATTTAAAAAAAATTTGCTCACAAACAAAAAAAATAAGAAAATTAGTCAATTTTTTTGATTCTCCAAAACAACAGGAAAGATTAGAAAAAGCACAAATAATAGTAATGGAAAGAGATAAATTACCTTTATCTAGTTTAGTAAATGCTGAATTTTATTTTGAGGAAGAGGATGCTGGCAAAGTTAATGATGAAGATACAGATTCAGAGCAACCAAAAATAAGTACTACTTCCAAACCACTTCACTCAATTAAAGATTGTCCAACATGATGGAATTCTACATATCGATCTTGGGAAAGATTATTAAAACTAAAAGATGCAATAATATGGCTAGAAGCCAATTTAAAAATCTCACGAAATTCAGATGACCAAAAAGATGGGCAAAATCTTGGACGATGCTTACCTGACGAAAATGAATAGAAATTGGTTGAAGAATTGGTTAAAATTTTTGAACCATTTGAAATAGCAACTGAAGCATTCAGTGCTAAAAAATATCCTACATTGTCGGTTGTATATCCTATAATTGAAGTTCTAAAATCTGAATTTGAAAAAGACCCAAATTTAACTTTAACTGAAGATGATTTTAATGAATATAGTAATTAATATTATATAAATTTTTATCTTGAAATTGCTACTACATATTAATATAAAATATTAACATTTTAGTATTTACCTTCTACAAACAAATATAGGTAGCGATAGTAGTGATAGCGAAAGCAAAGAGGTTCAGGATTGTGATGTTCAATCAGTAATTGCTCAAGTTAAGCAGACAATTTACAATTCGCTTTGTAAATATTGGGGTGACCCAAAAGACACCGGTCTCTTAGCAACTCTACTAGATCCTAGGCTTAAAAAATTGTGTACCTTTTCTAATTATTTAAAAAATGAAACAATTAGAGTATACCATGAAGAAATTTATAATATTATTATTGATGTAATACCTATACAGTCTACTTCTTCCAGTATAACTTCAACAAATCGGTACTTCACATCTATATTTGATAATAAAGATGATAATCTACTAGACGATAATGAATTAGATAAATATTTAGATATTGATAAAATACCTATTGCCACTCAAAAAACTCAACCTTTTGGTATGGTGGAAAGAACGAGAAAAGGGTTTTCCAAAATTAAGCAAATTAGCAAAAAAATACTTGTCTATTCCAGCCACTTCTGTTCCAAGTGAGTGCTTATTCTCAGATGCAGGAAATCAAGTAACACCAAAGCGATCTCGTCTCAATCCTGTAACAGTTTCCCAAATATTATTTTTAAAAAGAAATAATGATTTAATTAGTATTTCATAGAAAATTAACTTTTTTAAAAGAACATTTGTATTACGTACTTTTATTTTACTACGTATATATTATTTTTAGATATAAGGTAATGGGAGGTATAATGGCACAGTTAAGAACAAACGGTAATAAAATTTTTCAAAAGAAAGTTGATCATTTACAAAATTTATAAACTTGTACGTATATACCAATGTATTTTAATTAAATTTAAAAAAAAAAACTTTGATAATAAATCCATGTTATTTTAGAAGGTAATGTGGCGAATTGTTGTCCCTATTACTGTATTATATATTACAGCATATTGATATTACTTGACTATAATACGTACAAAATGAACATAAATTTTCTTTAGCACAATATAAAGCACGATTTTTTATTAAGCGAATTGGGATTTTACTCTCTAAGTAAAGTTATTGGAATTGTCATTTTTTAGATATCTTCAAACTTTGGTGTGATTTGGTGAACTTTTTATTAATCAAATTTTGTGTTATACTTAGGCTACACAAAATTATATACTTGGTTTTCATATCATGAAATGGTAAGTAGTGACGCGGGCGCGCGGCTTTTTTTTATATAAAAAAATTTTTTTTAAATAATGACAAAAAAAGCTTATTAAAGCTTATTGTCCCACGATCCAAATACCTGATATGAACTTTTTACGTTATTTATTAATGACATTTGAACTAGTGATACAAATCAAGTTGGAAATATAGGACTTTCTCGTGATTGGTTAATTTATATAGTTGAATTATACAGGTACTTTTACGTTCTAATATAGTAAAAATTTTTTTAAAAAATGTAACTGTTGTTTATACTACAATAAATATCTTGTGTATCTCTGGGATTTGCCTTGTCTAGGTATACTTCACTTAGAGACAGTTTTTCAATTTAGAAAAATAGTAGAGGTAATAAACACTATTTATTACGAAATCGCGTAGTTTTGCACTTATTTACTGCTGTACTTTTTTATTATTCAACGAAGATATTGAAATAAAACTTTATTAATTACAATTT